AAATATGTGATAATTGTTTCTGACTCTAGGGGGCGGTGATCATCTCTGTTTCAAAGCCAAAGAGCCAGCGCTGTCCAGAGACGTCTCCGTGGTCATGTGGCCGGCATGGCTAAATGCCGAAGACGCACGGAACGCTGTTACCTTCCCACCAAAGGTGGTCCCTATTTTTCTACTTGCATTTTTACATGCTTTCGAACTGCTAGGTTGGCAGAAGCTGGGACAAGTAACGGAGCTTGTTACTAGGGATTCGAACCTCCAACCTTTCTGATCAACAAGCTCAGCGTCTTACTCACTGAGCCACTGCATCCCCCGGGAGAAACAGGTCAGCGGAAAATAAAAACAGAACACCTGACTGGATTCTGATCTGACAGCGATGCGGAACGTGAGGCCTTGCAAAAAAAACCCCAAACCATCAAAATTTCCACATCTACAAAAACAGATGCATCTCCAGGAAGTCCGATCGCTTTTCAAGAGGTCAATAAGAAGCGATAAATTCATCCAACCCCCCGTGTCTTCTAAGGCAGCCATTTTGCACTTCACATCACCTCTGTGGTGGCCACCTTTCAAGCTTGTCTTCTCAGCCTCTTCAGGTAGCTCCAAGAAATCCTGACGGTCCTCCTTTAACGGCCTCTGAAAGAGTGAGAATGATCCAGTTCAGAACCTGAGGACATGGCAGGGGAAGGGATTCCTGTGGCGAGAGACATTTATGGATCTCTTCCAATCTCATTCTCTTCAGTGAACTGACTTCGCCATGAAAAGAAAGATCGTAGTAGCCATACCATAGGCCTGTCCTAATACAGGGCGGCTTAGGACTGAAATGGAACTTGCCCATAATGGTCACAGACTGTTATGGTTGTAAAGTGGATCATCACCTGATGGATCTGATCTTAAGATATCAAGTTAGGAACTAGGAGACTGAGAGTTCTAGTCCCATCTTCCTTCCTTCCCTCCTTTCTTTCTCTCTTTTTCTCCCTTCCATCATTTTCCTTTCTTTCTTCCCTTTCTTTTTCCTTTCCTTCTTCCTTCCTTCACTCCCTTCTTTCTCTTTTCCCCTTCCTTCCTTTTCCTTTCTTTCTTCCCTTTCTTTTCCTCCCTTCCCTTTCTTTCTTCTCCTCCCTTCCTTACTTTCTTCCCTTTCTTTTCCCTTTCTTCCTTCCTTCCTTCCCTCACTCCCTTCTTTCTCTTTTCCCCCTTTCCTTCCTTTTCCTTTTTTTCCTTTCCTTTCTTTCTTTTCCTCCCTCCCTTCCTTACTTTTTCTTCATTCCTTCCTTTTCTTTCTTTTCCTCCCTTCCTTACTTTCCCTTCCCTCCTTCCTTCCTTTTCTTCCCTCCCTATTTTTCTCTTTCTTTCTTTTTCTTTCTTCCCTTTCTTTCTTTTCCTTCCTCCCTTCCTTACTTTCTTTATTCCTTCTTTTTCTTTCTTTTCCTCCCTTCCTTACTTTCCCTTCCTT